TTCCAACGGCAAAAATCCGTTGGAATTCCTTAAGGACCTCAACTATCCAACACTTATTCCAACATAAAATTAAGTTTGTTGGAATATTTATTGGAATTTCCAACAAAAATTTTTGCCGTTGGAATTGTAGTTTTTTTTTTGTAGTGTACATAGTAGAGATCAATGGTACTGATGATTTAGAAATATTAGAGAACATAATAAATCATCCATGGTTAAATATGAAGCTCTGTCCTAAGTAGTCGATACATAATGACATAGAAATTTATCGCACCTAAAAATTACTTCATCAATTAGTATTTCTTCTGCCTTCTCCCACAATACCCTAACCCACATTTACAAAATGAACAGGTCTGTTAAAATTTCCAATACACTAACAAAAAATATAGTGAATAATCTAAATAAAATAGAGAAAATTGCACCCTGCGCCATGGATAAAGTTTTTTATTACATAAATAATACCCCTTATAAATATTAGCATATTGACTAAATCTATAGATTTTATTTACAAAAATAGCACAATCAAGATTCTGCGTGATTAATGTGAGATTTTATCACCTTCCAAATAATACTACCCCACTCTCTTCCACCATGAAAATCGGTCTCGTCTCTCCCAAACAGCACCCCTAATTTATTTTTTTTTTTCATATTTAAACCAGTCGCTACCCTCGATTGGAAATTTTCAAAACTCTGCAAATCGGTAAATCAGCCCCGAGCATCCGGCGGCGAGACACCAGTTGCCGACGGTTGAGTGCTGACCTTAGTCGCGGCCAAGCAGACCCGAGCCATCAACGACCGAAGCAGAAAAAACGACATGAAAAGGCCGATTCCACATCTGCTTCGGGCCATTTTCAGTCGGACCCCGGAGACAACAATCAAAAATAGGGTTGTACATGTAATGTATATGTTGTGTATATGTTATGCGTATGTACTATGTATGTTGTGTACTGTGTATGTATATGTTATGTTTATGTTATGTATATGTTCTATTTATGTTATGTTTATGTTTATGTTATTTATAAGTTCTATTTCTGTTTATCTTGGTATAATATCAATAGTGACTAATTTCGTGATATCGTGTATCTTGTGTATATTTTTTTTTTCTTGATCTCTCATATGTTTGAATTTTCAAATATCAACTCTTTTTTCCTTTAGATATGAACAGACAATACGGATTGTTTGTTGAAATACACTTTTCTTTTCTTTTTTAAATCTCATCTTAGAGCATCTCCAATGCTATGGCTTTGAAAGCCAATGATTTTGAACACATGTCAATCAATGATTGTAAGGTTAATCCATGTAGGAATAATGTTAAAAGAGTAGAAATTTAAATCAAACTTGTATCTCCAATGCATCAATTTGATAATAAGTTATTTGTATAGGTGGACCAATAAAAATACTCATTAATACAAAAAAAAAAATAAAAAAAATTAAATCAAATACAAAGTGAATTAATTAGACATCATGTTTAACATGGTGTTAGATATTAGAAAGTGTACTCAACGTTGTCAACATTAAATGTTATCCACCTCATCATGAAAGAGCTCATGACAAGATGCATTGGAGAACAATTTAGTAACACATTTTCAAAAGTTGATGATATGGATGAATTTTTATAGATAAGTGGATTAATTAAGGTAATGGAATTTTCTGTTTTGTTAACAAATAAAAGCAATTCATTAGGTATTAATGCTCGACGCCATCTATCGGTGTCTGGGACCTGCGAGCTTTGTGGAGACGAGGAGACGGTTCTTCACGTGTTGAGGGACTGCTCGCAGGCTAAGCAGCTTTGGGTACGATTACTTCCGGCTGCTGCGAGGTCGGAATTTTTTGGGACATAACTGGTCTGCTGGTTGCGACAAAACCTTACGACATCTCGGCTAGGTGCTGTGGACCATTGGAGCAGCCTTTTCGCGGTGTCGGTGTGGCGACTATGGAAATGGAGGAACGATCGCGTGTTTTCGAATAATGTGCCCAGCGCAGGTGCGATGTCTCAGATGGTGCTGCACGATAGCGAGAACTATATACGAGTCGTGACGGATTATCGAAAGGTAGGGGCGAATGTGTACGAGACTCGATTGGTAAAGTGGACCCCTCCGGATGTCGGGTGGATAAAAGTTAACATTGATGGCTCGGTTAATCGGTATACGGGCTTGAGTAGTGCGGGCGGGCTTCTCCGGAATGAGTTGGGACATTGGCTCGGTGGCTTTGCTATGAATATTGGATTAGGTAAGGTTTCGGAGGCGGAGCTGTTGGGTCTGACACACGGGCTGAGTTTGGCGTGGGACCGAGGTTTCCGGAAGGTGGTGATTGAGGTTGATAATTTACGTGTTACGCGAATGGTGACTTCCTCAGATGGGGAGGTTGGTCAACATGGTGCTCTGGTGCGCGCCATTCATGATATTCTTTGTCGAGAATGGGAGGTAAAGGTTCAACATGTGTATAGAGAAGCGAATTGTGCGGCGGACTTCGTTGCCCATCTCGCGTATTCGTACCCTCTCAGACTTCATATATTGTCTTCTCATCCTCCGGAATTAGGTTCTTGGATTGAGCATGATAGGTTGGAAGTCTCATCTCCCCGACAAGTTAGACTAGGACTTGGATATATACATTTATTTTTTATTTTTATTTTTTTTTTTGGTGAAATTGGTTAGCATTTTAATTGCTAAGCGAGTCGAGCACCATTCTTTTATTAAAAAAAAAATATTTATGTCATAAAATATTTAATAATCTGGTTTTTCTAAGTGTATTTCAGATAACCAGGGCTCTTTATCTTTGCAGTTTTTATGTTTTTGAGTGCCTTACTACATGAAAATTTACAAGGCCGGGGTTGCTTGTATTATGGTTCATATCATCATATGTTTGTTGTTAGAATATCACTTGTAAGTTGTCCCACATCGTTCACACATAAAAAATAGACCCACCTTATAAGTGTAATGGGCTACTCCTCCTTCTACCAATTGGTTTTGGGATGGAACCCCATTGGGCTTCATTTGGGTTTTTCCCGCTTTGGTGCGCTTCATGTTAGTGGGACCGCATCGTTTTCCCCCAGTTTCTTACATGGTATCAGAGCCCACTTTGTGCCTGGGTTAGAGACATGATATCAGATTCACAAGTGAGGGGGCGTGTTAGAATATCACTTGTGAGTTGTCCCACATCGTTCACACATAAAAAATAGACTCACCTTATAAGTGTAATGGGCTACTCCTCCTTCCACCAATTGGTTTTGGGATGGAACCCCATTGGGCTTCATATGGGTTTTCCACGCTTTGGTGTGCTTCATGTTAGTGGGCCCGCACCGTTTTCCCCCAGTTTCTTACATGGTATCAGAGCCCACTTTGTGGTTAGAATATCACTTGTGAGTTGTCCCACATTGTTCACACATAGAACATAGACTCACCTTATAAGTGTAATGGGCTACTCCTCCTTCCACCAATTGGTTTTGGGATGGAACCCCATTGGGCTTCATTTGGGTTTTTCCCGCTTTGGTGCGCTTCATGTTAGTGGGCCGCACCGTTTTCCCCAATTTCTTACATGGTATCAGAGCCCACTTTATGTCTGGGTTAGAGACATGATATTAGAGCCCGACCGACTTTGTGTCTGGGTTAGAGACATGATATCAGAGCCCACTTTGTGCCTGGGTTAGAGACATGATATCAGATTCACAAGTGAGGGTGCGTGTTAGAATATCACTTGTGAGTTGTCCCACATCGTTCACACATAAAAAATAGACCCACCTTATAAGTGTAATGGGCTACTCCTCCTTCCACCAATTGGTTTTGGGATGGAACCCCATTGGGCTTCATTTGGGTTTTTCCCGCTTTGTGTCTGGGTTAGAGACATGATATCAGAGCCCACTTTGTGCCTGGGTTAGAGACATGATATCAGATTCACAAGTGAGGGGGCGTGTTAGAATATCACTTGTGAGTTGTCCCACATTGTTCACACATAGAACATAGACCCACCTTATAAGTGTAATGGGCTACTCCTCCTTCCACCAATTGGTTTTGGGATGGAACCCCATTGGGCTTCATTTGGGTTTTTCCCGCTTTGGTGCGCTTCATGTTAGTGGGACCGCATCGTTTTCCCCCAGTTTCTTACATTTGTATTTGTACTGGAAATTCGACAAATTGTTTTGTTGCCTTATGATACACATAATAGTTACCTAAGTTATACATGCTATAAAAATCATGATATGAATATTATTTAGTTTAGATTTGTTCATTTATTTGAGAATGTTTGAAATTTGTGCCAGTTTTTACTACTTTATAGATTCTGTGTGTAGCTTCATGTCATCAGAGGACAGAGCTAATAATAGAATGATCAACTGATGAGTTTTAAGGTGTTCGTGCATATCCAAACTTTACACATTCTGTGTGTAGATTCATGTCATTTTTTCTCAATCACTGTAATTTTATTTCATATTAATTTATCTCAAATCTATTCAACTTTTTTCAGAAACCAAATCCTTCACAACTTTTTCACATGTTTTTTAAACTAAAATAAAATCTTATATCCAATCGCGCAAAAACTGCTCGAAAATTACTCACAAGATAACTTCCCAAAATTGGAATACAATTGTATAAATCTTTCTTCATGCAAGTAATAAAAATTTTCAGCCAAATTAAGAAACTGACATTCATGCAAGTATTAACATATATATCAATGTTTGCACATTACGTGAGGAGGTTGACAATCTTAAGTCAAACAAAGATCAGTAGCTACATTATTCAAAACAATTAAACAAATATACCAACATTTGCACAATGAATAATGAAAAACAAAAACATTCATAGTTCAGCTACCTAAAATACAAGAAAACAAACAGCAACAAAGAAAACAAAAGGAAAAAAATAAATAAAAAAAAAAAAAAAAATCGATTAGCCGCACTTATTTCTTCAATAAACTCTCTAGTTGTAGAAGAGCCTGCCAATGCGTACGTGAGAATGTAAATTAGCCGCATTTATTTCTCACACAACTTAAAAGGTTAGAAACAGATTGAATTATATGGAGTTATAATGTTTGTGAAGACTGTACAAACGGATCTCAAATGCAATTGCAGTTGGAGTAAGACTGCATACATCCTCAAATCCAAGTTTAGCTGCAAGATCTATTAACAAGATCAATCGAAGTATTAATTTTATTTCAAGCCAGAACACAGTCGAGTGAGAAGAAGATAATAAAGAATATACGTAGCATATGTCACGGAAAAAACATCGAAAAAAAGAAAAGAAAAAAAGTGTATTGAAATCATACTTTGAAGAGAAACTCTAACATCCGCATTCGCATATGCTTCGCCCCTCTCTTCATAAAGGGCAGATAACCGCTTCATAGTCTAGACAAACCCCAAATCATACAAAGAAAACTAAAATTAATTAATAAAACGCAACTGCAAATGAGCATTTGAAAATCTAAATGCTAATTAAGGAGAATTATCACTGAAACTTCAATCTAACACTACTCCTCAACATTTATCCCATTTCACAAACACAAACCTCAAGCAGATTATTTGTCATGCCTAAGATAGCAATTTCGATTTTGAAAGATAGGGCCTTTTCTTATCCTTTTTGCAATTAGGCTAACGGTTAGGCCGTCTCACACAATAATTTGTGTTAAATAAACGCTTTATTCCCTTCATAAGTACGTAATAATATCATTTACATATTTGCAGCTTACCTTGGAATAAGGATCTCCAGATTCATGATGCAAAAGGGGTCGAGTATTAGTTCCAATAGCTGTGATTCGGTGTGCTAAGGCTTCCAAAGGCACATCGAGCCAAACAGTGACACCCTTTTGCATATGTTTCCTAATAAGGCAAAAAGAATCACCAGTTAACGGGATAATTTGATCGTGAAAAAAAAAAAGAAAAAAAAAAGCTACCACAATGATTTGATGCATTATTACCAATTCACAGGCCGAATAACTGCACCTCCACCCGTTGAGATAACTAATCCATGCAGTGGAGACAATTCACGCAATACTTCACTCTAAAAAAACACAAGGAAAGAGATGAAGAAAGAACAAAAAAGCAAAACATAAGCACATCGAATCAAACATAAGAAGCAACACATGTAAAGGTTCGGATTTATTAAGAGCACGGAAAAGTTCTTGGTCCAACTAACAGAAGGCTCAAATAAAATGAAAGAGAAGTTAAATGGATGCAAATTTTCCGGGTCTGTTTTTACCACTCTCATAACAATGGGGAAAAGAACAAAACACACCAATTTGTTGTTAGGCCTGATACCTCGTTTTCTCTGAAAATTTTCTCCCCATATGACTTGAAGATTTCCACCAACAGCCTGCTCTACCATTTTGTCACTACAACATTCACAAGTCACATGATCTATATATTTGAATCTTAGTCCTACAAAATTTAATTCCTTGCATTAAAGTACTATAAGTTTCAAGTTTGTTCAATTTTGAGGAAAACGATAGGTTCACATTGGATTATTCTCAAAATGACCTTAAATGCCAAAAGTTCTAGGCTATGAAGCATCATTACCATTTTGGCCAACCCTTCACGGTATGAAGCTACAAGAGTTAAATTACAATTTCACTGAAAGCATAATCTTTAAGGACAGAAAGTTTGACATAAAGAAGATAAAAAACTCAAAAAACCAATCCCCAATAGTTATAAGACTAGGATTGCAACTTAGCATTCAATCCTCACTTGCAATTAACAGAGATAATAACATTTGGAGGGGCTAACCAGCCGAAAAATGTATATCGAAGGGCTTCTGCCAAAACCTTGCCAACCGTTGTTTTTCGTTTTCCAGACCCCATCATGCCTGCAAATTATAAGGAGAAAAAAAAAAGCATAGCAGTAAAATTTCAAACGCCATTAAGCTACAGTTACATTATAACTCAAGACAGCTGACATTAGTACCCACCAACAAGATATATACATCTACCATGCAAATATGGTTTGATCTCTTCTTCCGATTTTTTTCTGCAACAGCATTCACATACAAGTGACCAGGTCAAAAAGCTGTCTTCAGTTAACACTTTGGATAGGCTAATTTTCTAAGTACACCAATTAATAGATAGACAAAACAAAGTACCTCTTTGGGAAATATGAAAAGTTTAAATTTTCATTGGAGGCATTGCTGAAAGGAAGAAAAAACATCATTACAACTTACCTTCATTATCTTTAAATCATCTGGAACCTCAGTAGCCTCCAACACGGAAGCTTAAGAATATTTCTTGGATTTTAGAGTCAGTTTCCAATAAAAAATCAAAACTAACTCCCAAAAATCACGCATTATTACTCCTTATCTCTCCCACGACTAAACCAATTACCCCTCAACTGTATGTTTCTCTTCAGTAAACCCTACTCTTCACTTTTATGGCCAAAACCAAGATTCCTCCATAGCCGGTAACACCCCCAATCGCGGCGCCAGTGTGGATGCACATAAGAGGTGTGGACTCAGAAGGCGGCGTTCGCCGATCCGAAGTGGAGGACCTGCAAGGCGACGAGCGCGGGGCTTTTCCCCAAACAGAATAAAACGACGTTTATGGAGGCCGAACTGGGTTCGCCGAAGTTCTCGTGTATGGGAGAGTCAGGTCGATGAGCGGCCGGCGTCGCGCGAATCCACCGGGATGGAGGGAAAAACGACAGAGAAATCAGGGATTGGCGGCGGCGAGTGGAGATCCGGTTTCTACGCCAAGGTAATGGAGTTTTCTGTTTTAAGAACGAGAGGAGGAGACCGTTCCGGTTGGGGAGCGGGAAGGTGGTGGAAGGGCCGGAGGAGGAGGAAGAGCCGCCGCAGAGGTGTTGCAGGAAATCCGCATATCAATCTGTACATTGAAATTAGTTTATGATCATTATATGTACAATATATGTACAACATATGTACATATATTGTGCACAATTATTGTAAATCTTAGTTTATGTTTGGTATATTAATTTATGTACAAATTAGCTTCTAAATGGATGTTTGTTTTTCTGTTTTCAATTTTTTCATAGTATATGTTTGGTATATTATAAGATTATTTTGTTGAAACGAAATTGACAAGCATAATTGAATTTTTTTTTTTTTTTTGTGTATATCTATGATTTATATTAAGTATATTTCGATATACGATCACTCTTTTTTTTTCTTTTCGGAAATCCGCAGATCAGTCTGTGCATTAAAATTATTTTATGATCAGTACATATACTGGGATGTGTACAATTATTGTACATCTTAGTTTATGTACATATTAGTTTGTGAATGGATGTTTGTTTTCTGTTTTCAATGTTTATCATAGTTTATGTTTGGTATATTATAAGATTTTTTTGTTGAAACGAAATTGACAAGCATAAATTGATATATATATATATATATATATATATTGTATATGTGGTTTATATTAAGTATATTACGGTATATGATAAAAAAAATTATCGTGAGACATAATTTTTTTTGTATAAAATTAGT